GGTCGAAGCTCTCGCCGAGACGCAGCAACGCCGACCGTTCTCGCACGGCCTCTTCGTCTTCTTCCCAGCCTCGTCCCGCCCGCATGCTCTTCGCCCGTATCCATTCGGCAGCTTCGAATATGCCGAGACGATCCCGAGACCCGAAATGCTTGACCCATCGCACCCTCTTCACCCACGACGAGTCCCGGTCCATCTCTTCTTTCAGATCGCCCGTCCGTAGTCGCTCGGCATCCTCGGCCTCCAGTTCAGCCGTGCACTGGGCCATCAGTAGCTCCATCGTCTCGTTCCCGGCGCTGCTGGCCGAGTCGGGCCCCGCGTCGGCCTCGTTGCTGCGGACGATCCAGTACCGCGCATACTTCCCGCGCATCCACGTCTGCAGTCGAACCTTCGTCGACCTGGGCCCGGTTGCCGCATGCCCGGTCTCCCTCCAATGGCGTGTGATGTTGTCTCCCGCCGTTGTGAGATAGCGGCACGCGGAGCAGCTGTAGCCCGGGAGGACATCGAGCTGTGCGACGGCCGAGCTCCCGTCGACGGGAAGCGTGTCGACCTTGGGATCGGCCAAGTCCGAGCCGCTGTAGTAGTCTCTGATGTCTCTGAGGCTCTCGCCTTTCAGCTGGTGCTCGTGGCGGAAGTGCGACTCGATGCTGCTGCCGCCCGGCCGGACGGCCGCCTTGCATCGGCGGCAGATGAGCATACGATGCTCCTCGTTCATCTCGACGAAGCTATCCATGCTGGGTTCACTGCCTCTGTGGCCCTTTCCCTTCCCTTGTGGCAGGAAAGCAACGAGTCGTCCTTCCTTCCCGTCGCTTTCCCCCCTCTCTTCTTCGACTGCCCTGCCCCCCTTTCTCGTAGGATGAACCCTGGCAAAAGCGAACCCCAAGTCTCCGGTTGGGGTTACGCGCCGGCCAATCACCGCTCCGTCCCGGCTCCAACCGATACGGCTCCAACGCTCGGACCAGGGCGCGCGGTTTACGTGGCCGATTCGACTCGAATCGGCTGCGAATAAGGCCTAGAACTACCGGTAACACCTTATCAATATCTTTATAGCGCCCTTCCTTGTCCGCCTCGCCTTCCCTCCTCTCCTCGCACCAGTCAAGCGGTAGCTTATACGTAAAGCAGTACGATAGCGGCCCGAACGTTATCTTCTTTCGTATTACTGCGTAGCCCTCGCCGGATACTTTATTATACTACTCGTCCCGGCGCGTATACCGTGGCTCGTCTGGCGTCCCCTCCCTCTCGGTTCTTACGTAGTAGTGCCGGATATAATATACTGCGCACTCATCCGTAACCTCGTCTAGCCAGCAGAACAGCGTCCGGACCCGTCGCCCTTCCCCCTTCCCAAAGTTGCTCCACCGGGTAGCGGTCCGCGCCTATTCCTCGTATCGGTCATAAAGCTCCGCGCCCGCTATGTCCTTGCACGATTCGCCGGTAACCCCGTCCATAAACGTACTGACGACCGTCCGTCGACACCCTGCCGTCGATACGAACGCCTCTATCTCGGCCTGGTTACGTTCGTTTACGGAGCTGCCGTGCGGGTCGGGCCGGCTCGGCCGTCCGTCGTGCACGATGACCGACTCTACTACCTCCCCTGCCCGCCGTCCCCCTCGCCCTGTCTGCTGCACAAAGTCCACGAGCCCGTACGGCTGTTCCGCGTGGATCACTGCCACGATGCCCTGGATGTCCACCCCTGTCCCTAAGCCCGACGTGGCCGTGATCTATCGCTGTCCCCTACCCCCGGCCCACCCTGCCCGCACCCCGTGGCATTCTTCCTTGCTTATGCCGCTGTGGTGGAAGCCGTAGCCGACCTCGTCGGCTATGACGACGTATTGGCGCCTCGATCGGTAGTAGATTATGCCCTTCTCCCCCCCGGACATCGTGGCCTCTAGCCGCTTGGCCGTCTCCGCTACCTACCGCTCCACCGCCCCGCCCCCGGCCGTGACTTGCTCTACCCGGTACCGGTAATTTACCTTTGTCGTCCGATCCCGTACTATCGTTACCGCCTCCACTAGCATCTACTCCCGGAACCAGTCCTCGAGCACCTCCGGCATCGTCGTAGTCAAGAGTACTAACGGGCAGCTGTAGCGGTATAAACTTCGGAGCTCTCCCAGCCGAGCCCTAAAACCGATATCCGTAATAATAGTATAGTACTGTCGATAAATATCCGTCGGAGTAAGCCGGTATATAATAGTCCGTCGGTATATACGGAAAACTCCCCCGCGCTAATAACGTCCGCGCTAACGACTACTAGCCGGGCGGCCCGCGGTAGCCCTTCCCGTCCAGCGTGCGCTGACGATCGGAAACGGATGTAGTTTATGCCCATGGATACGGTGCGCGTGACTAGATCCTCCATCAGCGCCACGAATGGCATAACCACGATGTTGGTCCCGCCGTTCGCTATGACGGCCGGTAGTATAAATAGTATACTCTTGCCGGCCCCTGTCGGCAGCACGCTTACGACGGACTGGCTACCCTCTAATACTATAATCGTGCGTATGCTCTCGGCCTACTTACTATTGCGCCATATCGCCCCGGGCCCGAGCAGCCTACGCAACCCCGCCGCTATCGCCTCTTCCGCGTCCTCCACGGCGGCCTCGCCCCGTATACGCTTAGAGCGGCCGAGTCCCGCCTACTATCGCGTGCCGTGCTCCACCGCCTTACCGGCCCGTTTTTACTTACCGTCCCCGGTCGCCTCCCCGTCTAGAAACCGATACTACAGCCGGCTAATCTCCTTAAACATCGCAATTATCTCCGGCTATAGCTTTCTTAGGAACCCGATATATACGGTATAATACTATTACGTAACCCGGCTCCCGTAAGTCGACGCTAGATCCATACAATATTCTAGCTTCCTCCGTAGTATACCGGCTCGCCGGTAACGGGATCGACCTCGACGTCGTCGTTGCCCCGTCGTCGTCGTCGTCTAGCCGGCTCTCGATCTGTTTTAGTACGAGTCCCTATATTCGACGACCTATCTCGATAGCTACGGCCCGGTATCGTCCTACGCCGAGCCGTATGCCCGTCGCCGCCTATATTAGCGCGCCATCGTCCGGCTAAGCCGCTTAGTATCCTATACCCGCAAGCTACCGTCTGCTATATAAACTCTAGCTACTCCCCGCGCGGTTCGGCTAGTTAGGCCTTACGCCGGAGCGCCCGCTCCGCCGGGATAATCTACGCGATATACGTTATTATTATCTACCCGATTACGTCGGGGACGAACCGGGCTACCTTGCGCGAGTTATCCCGGATCGCCTTCATCTTATCTCGGTCCGTTACGATCATTACCTGCCCGTCGAGCACGAAGATGTTACGGATGAGCTGCCACGAGTCGCAGTGCCGCAGCGTCGCCACCTCGGGCCCTCGGCCGGGCAGCCCGCCCCATACGTAGACGAGCACTATCAGTACCTCCCGGAACATCTTCAGCCGTCGCAGCCACTACCGAACCCCCTCTCGCTTGACCTATTACTTTCTCGGGTCCCATATCGACGCCCCGAGCTACCTCATCACCACCGCCGGTCCGGGCTCTAGCCAGTCGTTCTCCGCCTTCGTTACGAATAACTGGCCAGCCCCGAGCCGCACCATACTATCGACGAGCCGTCCTAGCTTAATACGCATCTTAACCAGCTCCCAGTCCCCCCCGCATAGTGCGCCGAGCAGCTTCCGTACGTCGACGACCTGGTCCCGGAGCGCCCGCGTGAAGTCCCGGACGACGATACGCTCGCCGTTATGGAACAGCGACTCGCCGTCATCCGCCTAACGTACCGATAGCTACCCGCCCATCCGCATCCGCCAGCCTTTCCCGAGCGCCATCCATCCGATGATAGTGCTAGCGACTGTATGCGCGCCTACACACATCTAAGCGGTATGTTGGTCCCGGAACGCAAGGACTGCCGGAACCCCGACCTCGTCCTAGTCCCGTGGCTAGTCCTCGAACGCCGCCTCCAAGAAGAAGAGCCGGCACCACCACAAGATGGCTACCAGCATGCCCGTATATAAGTACGGCTCGGTATACCCGAGCGGACGAGATCGGATCCCTAGCGCTGCACAAAAGCACAGCAGCGAGCTTGCGTATACGTGCCCGCCGACCCGGGTCTTGATCGAGAATTCGCCCTCCCAGCCACATATAAAACGCATCCCAACCCTTTCTTCCATCTTCTATAATCTGCACCCCTTTAGCAGCCATCTGCTCCTCGAATACGCCGCTCCATACCACCTCTAGAAGTCTTACTATACTGGCCGTAAATACTTCTATTAGTATACTTCCTAGTTGGTACGCTTATCCCTCTACCTAGTGAAACCGCCCGCCGTCCTCTACCTCGCCTTCCTACCGCTTACAAAACTCCTATAATAACCCGCAGTAAAAGTAGCCGGAGAATAGCTCGAGACGCCTCCTACCGAATATCTCCCGCTCGGTAGTCCTTATACCTTACTATACCCGTATCTACTCCGTCTCTGCCCTCCTCGGGTATCTAGCAAACGTATACCTCTCGTCGTCCCTTACCCCGAAATATAATACGTACCTCTTACGTCGCCCGTGAAGCTGCGCGAGAAATACTTCTATTTCGCTAGCCTTGCCTATCTTCTCTACCCTAACTCTCTATTGGTCTAGCTTTACATACCTATCTAGCATATGGAACGCTGCCCGGCCTCCTTTATTATCTTCTGCTATACTGTCCTCGCTATTATAGCCGAGAACGAACCTTAATCTTAACCCTGGATCGCCCCCGCGGTAGACGTCGTATACTTCTTCGTCCTCTTTATAGCTAGAACGGTTACTTCTCCCGTTTATTATTCGGTCGAGAACGACCCGTCTGTATTCGTCGCCGGCGAGATACTCTTCTATTGCCGCCTCCTGTTGCGATCCGCTGCTGTTGCCGCTGCGGCGTACTACGACTAATACGCTCGGCTGCCCGTCGCGCCCCGCTCGCCCGCTCTCCTGCACGAATCGGCGGAGTCCCGTTGCATGTCGGCGTGGATCACGAGCCGTACGTCCGGGATATCGATGCCCAGTCCTAATGCGTTCGTCGCCACTACGACGCCCTCGGCCCCGTTGCTTTGACGCCACGCCTCGAGCCGAGCCGTCTTGCCCTCTGTCGAGTCGACGTCGCTGAAGAACGTGGCGCACCCCAGCACTGATCCTAAACGCTCTACCCGCTCGATTGACGTGGCGTATACCACCGCCTTGCCTCGCCCGCCGCTGGCCAGAAGCTCACGTACCCACTGGACTGCTACCCGGCATACCTCGGCCTCAACCGTGTCAAGTGTCTTGAGCGCCGCGTCATCTTCGTCTTGTTCTGCGCCACCGTCGTCCTCGTCACTGATCCTGTCGCTTGCTATGACGACGGAATATCCTATGTTCTTGCGCGTCGTTGCTGTTCGGAACATGCTTACACGACTTGCCTCTAGTCGCATCGCGTGGAAGAATACTACTTCGTCCCTTAGCGTAAGCGTCGCTATTAAGTATATCGTTTATATACCGAACTTGCGAATCGCCTCCCCGAGCTCGCTAAGCCGTGGCCGGAAGCTCTGTAAACCCTTTAGTATGATATAGTACTCGTTTATAACGACGCGGTCTAGCGCCTGCCTCCTTTCTAGCCGTACGATAAAGTTCTAAACCCCTTTATAACGGCTGACTCGACCGTGACGAAGATGATGGACGCCGCCTGGTTGTTCTTCCGGCTCTGCTATACGTGCGATGTGATCCCCGCCTTGACGTATCGCCTGTGCAGATCCGTCCGCAGCGCTACCAGCGGCGTCACAACCACCGTCACCCCGTCCGGCGAGCAGAACGCCGGCAACATGAACGAGACGCTCTTGCCGCCGCCCGTCCCCATTACCTACACGATCGGCGTGTACCCGCTGGCGATGGCGAGCACCGCTTCTCTCTGGTTTCCGCGGAACCCCGCCGAGTCGTCCCCGTCATCTACCGTAGCTGGCCCTCTAAGTCTATCCTCCTTAGCTTCTCGAACCGTCGGAGCCTCGCCTCGAGCCGTGGCCCTTCGTACGCCTCCGTCTTTTTCCTCTTATATCCCGCGGAGTCCTATTTCGACTCCGAATCCTCGGCGCCGAACCTTAAAAACCTATACTACTAACGGCTAACTCTACGGAACTATTATTACCTCGCCGCGAGACCACTACCGAACTATATAAGCTCTCGTACGTAGATCATGCCCACTAGCCGCGTACTATATCCCGCCTATAAGTCCTACGGGCTATCCTCGACCTCGTCTATTCCCTCGTCCGACCCCAAGCCTTCGTCGTCTCCACCCGGCCGGCCAAACGACTCGTTCAAGTAGCGGTTAGCAATACCGATGGCTATATACTGCCATATACTTACGTTAACTTAGCATCCTAGCAGCCTCATACTAGTGCGCTGTATAATCCGCCGCGCCCTATCTGTCGTCCACGTTCGCTTATCTTTCTACGTCTAGTCGCCTACGTATGTGCTCTTATCCCCTGCCTCGTCTGTATTTATACTGCGATTGTTGCTATCCCTGACGTTTGTGTTATCCCTCCGTTCTTCCAATACTGCTGCCGTCCTGCTTTCTTCCGGGTCCATCTGCCGAATAATGTCGTCTGCCCATAAGAACGCGCTGTATCCGCTGGCCTCGTACATGATGCCCTGCACCTCCTGCCAGAATGGCAAGATGAGCCACAGATACTATATGATGAGCTCGCCGACCTCCCTCGGCAGATAGCGGTGGATCACCTTCGCCTGGCCTGTCGTCCGGTACCCTTTATAGTACGCCGTAACGAAGCATAATATCTTATTATATACTAATATGTTGCGGACGCTCCTGTTGACCGTATTGACCGTCTGTAGACCTACAAGCTCGCTCGCCCGCACCGGCTGCCCGCTAAGCATATGCAGAAGTATCCATAGTCGCTCGCGGAGTCGTTCAAATGTCCTCTCGAACTCCTGCACAGCTGACGGCTAGAACGGTCGGTCTATTGACCTATAATCGTTATTATGCTGCTCAGTCCCCAGCGCTCTGCTGCGGCGGGTAACTGCGCCAGCCGTATAAACAGCCAGCCGTCCCCGCTAGAAACCTAACTATTACGGTCGTCGGTAAGAAATGAGTAGCCCGGCTTCGTCTCGCTGTGGTCGTCTTCGATCGATGACCATGGGATGGCTGGTAGCTGGGACCGCACGTACTTTCGGGACCGTCTGGCAAACCTGAATCCTCCGTCGCCGTCAGCTCTACGAGTAGCTCCCGCGTCTCTCGGACCAGCTCGTACAGTGCGTCTGACAGCTGCCCCATCGTGAACCGTACCCGTCTATATAACACGCGATCGCCCACCCAGTCCATGACACCCGCCGCTGCTGTGTTGTATTGGATATGCATCCCGTACGTCCACGTCTCGAGAATCCAGTCCATCGGCGTCGGCTCTGCGTCCTTCTCGCCCGTCGTACGCGTCATGAACCGCCGTATCTTTACCCACATATACTAGAACAAGCTCTGCGCCGCCTTCTCTACTTCATCCTTCCCTAGAGATCTTTCTAGCTCGGTAACCTTATTATACCGCTCGGTATATACCTAATAAATCACTAGCATATACGCTACCTTAATAACGGCTAAGTACTTTATTATATAGTCTATAATCTAAACCTAGCCGCTATCCTCGGTAATGCCTATTACCGCGAGTATGCTAAAAAAAAGCACTACTATAATCTCCGCCCTTCAGCTAGTAGTCCAGTATGCTGATGAGTATATTAAACGCTGTGCGTTCTAGCTTCTCCGGCGTTTGGTGCCCCGTCCCCGTGCTAGCTACTTCCGCTATCTGCTCGAACGAGTCCCACGCTTCTCCCTATAACGACGTTAGTTTATACGGTAGCCGCTTGTCGTCGTCCATTAAACCCTTATTACCTTCTTTAATAATCCTTATTCTTATTATATTTCTAGAAATACCCTACTATTTGAATACTGTTTATGACCCCTCTTAACTCTAACTATCTCTATTACCTTTATCCTCTTTTCTACTATTTCTTTACTTTTTTATAATCTTTATAAGTAATCTAATAAAAAGTATAACTAATAAATACTAGTACTGAGTTTAACTCCTATCCTCTATTTAGTCTACTACTTAAGTTTTAAAATATAAGACCCTAAGATACTCATACTAGTACTAACCCTAAGATCCTTATATAATATCTACCTAAATACGTTCTAAATCCTCTTCCTAGAGCATATATATCACCTTACATAACCGACTACTCTGTATCCCACCCCATAAAATCAGTCTGCCTAACTAGATATGCTAATCGTCCTTCGTAACTAACGCCCTTACCTCCCCCTCCTCCTCCATCACCCTTTGCTTTACCCTCTCTACCCCGTCCGGGTCCGTTCGTACTATACCCTACCCGTATATCTCGAGTAGTCGCCCACCGTATGGGTAACTTCGGTCCGTCGCCCTACTATAACGCTCCCCCTCCTTATCCCGGCTATCCTAAGCCTTATATATCTCCTGCAGTAGCCCGTACTCGAAGCATGTAGAAAAGTCCTCTAGCCGCTTCTTCCTAAATATCTCCTGATGCGCTAGCTCGATACCCTTCTCGATATCCGCCCAGTCTTCCGCCCGTCCGCGCTCTCTATACTCCGCCGACCGGTGCTCGTGGGCCTGCTCTTGGTACTAGCAGTATATGCACTATTGACCCTATGTCCCTAGTAGTCTCCGGAATCTCTCCACTTGCTCCGCCTCCCTCATCCGCTCCTTCTCGAGCCCGCGCCGTATTATTACCGTCTACCGCTCGCCGTCCTCGAAAGCTCTTATGTACCCCTCGGGCACCGTCTCCTCCGCCGCTCCTTGCTCTAGCATACCGTCTATATCCTCCGCCTACCTCCGCCGCTAGTACCTGTCGCACTGCGCCTCCCCCGCTTCGCACCATAACCGGTCCGTCCTTCCGTCTATCACCCGGTCGAGCACTACCCGCCGGCACTCGCTCGTTCGTATGAACTCGTCTGCTGGCCCGCTGTCTTGTCTGCCGCTGCCGCCTCGCCCTGGTCCTGCCGCTGCTGCTGCCGCCGCCCGGCAGACTACGACCGACCTACTTAGCCCTCCGTCCCGCCCTGCTCGACTGCTCTCTTGTATAAAACGTGGAAGCTGCCGCGGCATGTCCGCGTGCACTACTAGCCGTACGTCCGGTATATCGATGCCGAGCCCTAGCGCGTTCGTTGCGACCACTAGCCCACCCTCAGCCCCGCTACCCCGTCGCCATGCCGCTAGTCGATCCGCCTTGCCCTGGCTCGTATCGATGTCGCTATAGAACCCCGGATATCCTAGCGCCGCGCTTAACCGCTCTACCCTCTTTATCGATATGGCGTAGATAATTACCTTACCCGGCTGCCCGTTAGCGAGCTACCCTTCCGCGGCGCGGTAATACGCTTCGTTAATATTATTAAACTCCCTGCTCCCCTTCCCGCCCTGGCCGCGTCTGCCGGTGCGTTGAGACGAGCTCCGCCCGCCGTGCCCATCTACCCTTACGATGCTATACTTAATATTCCTCCTACTTGTCGGGGCCCGGAATAGTTGCGTCCGGTTACGATCTATCCCATAAGCCCGAAGAATGCCTTCTCGTCGCCCGGCGCTAACGTGGCCGTTAAGTATACGATCTGTACCCCGAACTCTCGTATCGCTGCGCTAACCTCGCGTAGCTTCGGCCGGAACGACCGGGTCCCCTCTAGTATAACGTAGCATTCGTCAACTACGACGCGGTCGAGCGCTTGTCGTGACGTAAGCCGTGCTATGAAGTCCTGGAAGCCTTTATTGACGGCGGACTCGGGCGTAACGAAGATGATGGATGCGGCCTGGTTGTTCTTATGGCTAAGCTATATATGGGAGGCGATCCCTAATTTAGTATACCGCGCCTCTAAGTCGGTCCGAAGCGCGGTAAGTGGTGTAATAACTACCGTTACGCCGTCCGGTGAGCAGAACGCTGATAGCATAAACGATAAACTCTTACCGCTGCCCGTGCCCATTACCTGGATGATCGGGCTATGCCCGTTGACGATAGCCCCGACTACCTTCGCCTGGTTCCCGCGGAACGTCGCTGCGTCGTCCCCCGTCATCTGCCGTAGCCGGCCGGCCATGTCCGCCTGCTGTAGCCGTGCGAACCGCCGTAGCCGGGCCTCGAGACGGACGCCGTCGTAGAGCTCTACCTTTCGCTTCGAGCCGCTGCGGTAACCGTCGCTCGCCCGGTCCTCGTCCCCAAACCCCAAGAACCGATGCCACTGCGAGCTGACCTTACGAAACTGCTGCTGCTTAGCCGCTACCCCGCTACCGAACTGGACTAGTAGCCGCCCATAGATCATACCGGCGATCCGCGTCCCGTGCCCGGCTTGTAGATCCCACGGGCTATCACCGAGCTCGTCTTCGTCCTCGTCGTCTCCCTTCTTCCCTAGATCCCACCGCCCGAACGCCTCGTGTAAGAATCGGTTGGCGATAGCGATGGCAATATGCCGCCACATGCTCACGTTCAGCTTGTTACCGAGTAGCCGGCTGCTGTGCCGTTGTATAATTCGCCTGGCCCGGTCCGTCGTCCACGTCCGATCCTCTATCCAAGCCCACGCCGCCCTACCCTCGTCCCCGTCCTCGGCAGTATCGCCCGCGTTATCGATATCTATGCTGGTTACCGTCGCCGCTCCTCCGCCGCTCCTCTTCTATATGACCTCGTCGGCCCATAAGAAAGCGCTATAGTGGTGGGCCTGCTTCGTGATGCCTTCTGCTTCCTGCCAGAACGGAAGTACGAGCTATAAGTACCACACAAGTAGCTCGCCGGCCTCTCTCGGTAAATACCGGTGGATAATCTTAGTCTGCCCGCTGCTCCGGTACCCTTTATGGTACGCCGTTACGAAATATATTATACCGTCGTGTATAAAGATGTTCCGTACCCCGCTGTTTACCGTATTAGCTACCCGTAAGCTACCCATCTCCGTCGCCCGTCCCGGCTGGCCCCCTAGCATATGCATTAGCAACCATAGCCGCTCGCGGAACTGCTCGAACGTATGCCCGTACTCGCGCACTACCTCCTCCCTGAACGCCCTGCTGCCCGACGTCGGTCCCTCTATACCCCACTGACGCCGCCGCGGTTGGGACCCCACGATACGCCGGAACACCCACCCGTCCCCTTCCCTCAGCCACGCGTTGCGGTCGTCGTATAGAAACGAGTAACCCTCTCGGGTCTCGCTATGGTCGTCCTCGATCGACGGCCAGTGAATACGCGGCAGCGCTTCGTCTAGACAGCTCCTCGCCTGGCTGCTGTCCGACACTGCGTCGCCCTGCTCGTCCCCGCCTGTGACCATCGTGAGCTGCGCTAATAGCAGCCTGGCCTCGTCGACGACGCCGTGGAGCATGTCCGATAACTGGTCCATGGTAAACCGTACGCGCCGATACGATATGCGGTCGCCTACCCAGTCGATTACGCCGTCTGCCGGCGTGTTATACTGTATGTGCATGCCATACGTCCGCGTCTCGAGAATCCAATCCATCGGTGTTGGCTCGGCTTGGGGGGCCCCGGGCGTACGCGTCATGAACCTCTGTACCATGCGACGGACGTAGACAAAGAGACTCTCTATGCCATCATCGGCCGCCCCCTCGTCCGTCGTAGCGGCCTGACGAGCGACATCGTATTGCCTCTGCGTATATGCCTTATAAACGACTAACATACGTGCTACTTTAATGATCGCCGAATACTTTGTTGTATAGTCGGTAATATCCATCTAGCCACCGTCGGCCCGGATGCCTATTATAGCGAGCGTGCTCACTATCGCGTTCTCGTACTGCCCTCTCTTAAGCTGGTGGTCCAGCATGCTAACGAGCATTTTAAGTGCTACCGGCCGGAGCGTATCCGACGTAGTGTCGGAGTCCCCTTCTACCACGGCCTTGGCTAATTGTTCGAACTCGTCCTACGCATCGTACTGCCTCTCGGTGAGCCGGTACGGCGGTCTCCTGTCGTCCGGTAGCTCCTACGTCCGGAACCACACATAGAGCAAGACCCTCTAGACATCTTTATACCGTACCTAAGTATCCTCCTTAATGCGGTTATTAAACGGCCTCGTGGGCTTAATATATGCTTCCTTCCGCTAGACCTCGAATAATACGGCGTGCCCGACCTTATTAGGCGTAGATATGGCCCTGGCGTACTCCAAGACCTCGTTGACCGAAGTCCACATCACATGGAGCACGTCCTCCACGGCCTCCTGGATTAGGCCGGTGGTTTCGTAGAGCTGGCTGATGCGTAGTCCACTTAGATGCTCTGCCCATCCTACCCGCTGGAGCCACGGGTTCGGCTCGAGCTTGTCGTTGGTAGCACGGATGAGATCGTCATAGCTCGCCTTGACCTGCTCGGCTTAGTTCTGCCGTAGTTGACGGAGTAGCTCGGTAGCCTGCCGTGACGCTACCTCCTCGGCGACCGCCTCCGGCGCTTGGTCTAGCGGTTGGCCACGCCCTACCTCGAACTATTGGCTCCTAGCCCGTAATAAAAGAACCGCTAGTATAGTATACCGGACGTCACGGTATACTACGTTCCTAATAAGATCTCGCCCTTATATTACCGCCCTTCTTCTAATCGTTCACCCACCCGTGATGTCTTCGGCAATGATCCTGGATCCTTTAAGTTTGGCAATAAACATAGGAGTATCGGTGATATCGGATACCGTCCGTACGTAGGTCGGCAAGATGGTCGATGGGGGCTATTGATGGGTCGGGATACTGCAGCTGCGCAAGACTGGCCTGGTTCGTACGTATGCCCATTATACTAGAGATGGCCTTGACGATGCTACTACGGGTCGACGGTGGGATATGGCGGTGGCGTGTCCGTAGGTGGGTGGCTAACTCGTCACTAACCACAGCAAACTGACATGTTTTACAAATAGCGAGTGCATACTCTTCATAAAAGATAAACGGCTCCATTACTAGCGTAATTACGATAGTCTTGGGCCGTGGTGGTTGTGGGCTACTACCGAGATAAGTGGTGTTAGTCTTACATATTGGTGGATTGATGTTGACTGTGGTTGAGTTAAGATGCTGTTGGACGGGCAACTATCTTAACCACAGCATTAAACTGGACATGGGCGCTATCTCCTCATTCGGTAGCTGCAGCGCATTCCTTATCTCGTTTAACTATACTAAACCGCTTACCACAAAGGAAACGCTAGGTAGAAATACTATGATTGGCTGCTGCCTCAGTGAGCATAGCAAGGTTATGTAATGATAGCTCTAGCGTTGATTGGTGCACTGATGCACGAGCCATCTTCACCCCATCAAATCGGCAAACACGAATCTATACAAATAGAGATAAATATTGGGTTATGAATAAAGATAAGATAAGTTCTGAACTCGCCTGATTACCAGCTTTCGATGCATATCTATATCGTCTATTTTAGCTAAGGAAACCTCTACCAACTCTACCCCTATAATCTCTATCAACTCTACACCCTAGTATTCACGCCCCATAATTATTTTCTATGGCGTTTTCTATGAACTCTACTACAGTTCGTCGTGTCCTAGAGGTTAGGCTTACCGAGATGGATGAGGTCGGCATGCTTTATGATGTTATAGGCATGATGAACGTATGCTACAGAATGCAGATTCTATGGTTATGTATGGAGGGGTTATAGTATACTAGTTGCTGAATCAAACGGCCAAATACAAACTCGTTAAACATATGCGATTTGAGATCTTGACTGCTCTTAGCCTTTACTAGACGTCTAGCTTTGGTAGTGATGCTGTTCAAAGGTTCGACGCACGAGCCATCTGAGTAACGGCCACCCTACCGATCATTGGTGCAGCCATGCACGAGCCATCTTGACCCTATCAAACCGTCAATCACGAATCTATACATATAGAGGTGAATACTGGGTTTATAATAAAGGTAAGATCATTTCTGAGCTCGCCTAATTCTCAGCTTTCGATGCATGTCTATATCGTCTATTTTAGATAAGAAAAACTCAATGAAGCTGACCCCCTGTCGTTTCAATGAATCTGACCCCTTGTTTTTAGGGACCCATTTCTATTTCTATGGGCATTTCAATGAATCTGAGTCGGATTCATCGTTGTCTGTATGTTAGGTACGTTTATCCCGAGCCTTAGTGCGTTCGTCGCCACGATCACCCGCCCCCCTCTATATCGTGCCCGCTCGAGTCCGCTCGTCTAAGCCCGCAGCCTCTCCGCCTTTCCGTCTCGTATATTGACGTTACGGTAGTATGCATCGTAGTTTAGCTCTATAGCGAGAGCGTCCGTCGCTATTACCGTCCTATAATACACGATTATCTTAGCCGGCGCGCCGTATATCTTGAGCTTCTCCTTAAGTAGCGTACGAACCCGTTATATTATCCCCTACGTAGCGTCCTCCGCCGTCGTCGCCGTAACGGTTTCTATGCTATATACGACGTTAGCCCGTGTCGTCCTGGCCCTGATCGTCGTGATCTCCTTGCGCCGTACGTTGATAAGCTCCGAGAACGCCGCCTCTTAGCACAGCGGTAATGTTACTATTAAATATACTATTTAAACCCTAACGAGTACGAGCCGGCCTAGCTCGCATAGCTTCGGCCGGAAGTCCCGTATGCCTTTTAAAATAGTATACGCTTCGTTGAATACGAACCCGTCGAGCTACGCTATTACCCAGAGCCCTTCTACGTAGTCCTAGAACCGCTTCGTTATAACCGATTCGGGCGTTACGAATACGAGCGATGCCGCCCCGGGGGACCCGTCGCTGCGCCACTCCGCACACGGGATTTTCATCCGCCGGCAACGTTCTATTAAGTCGCCTTAGAGCAATACGAGCAGCACAACGACGACCGTCACGCCCCCGGGGCAGCTTACCGCCGGCAGCATGAAGCTCAAGCTCTTCCCGCCCCCCGTCCCCATCACCACCACGATCGGGCTCTTATTCGCCATGATCGCCTAGATCGCCGACCGCTGGGCGCCTCGGAACCGGGCGTCCGCCCCGTACAAGCGGACGAGCTCACCGTCGATGTCGATCCGCCGCCGCAGCTTCCACCTCCCTAGCTGCAGCGCCCGGAGCGCTTCGTCGTACGTCGACGCCGTCTTTCGCTTGCGGCCGGGCGTAAGAGCCAAGCCGAAGCCCCCCAGTGCGGACGGGAAACCCAACAGTCGGTGCCATTCTTCGCTGATCTGGCGGAAGCGGACCCGACGTTCGTTCGTCTCGAACCCGCCTTCGGTCACCAGCCGTCCGTAGATCAACCCCGCCACCTTGGACCCGTGGCCCGCTTGTAAGTCGTACGGGCTGTCCTCGTCGTCGTCGTCGCTCTCGCTACCGCTGTGGTCGGAGTCGACTTCGCAGAGCAGCTTGGTGTGCGCCGTCGACGCGTTGCGGAAGTACCGCCGCCCGATGGCCGTCGAGATATGCCGCCAGCTGCTGATGTTCAGCTTCTGCCCAAAAGCCAACGCGCTGAGCCGCCCGATGCTGCGTGACAAGCGCGGTGACGTCCAATATTCTCCGGGGCCTAGCCTCCACCCGTCGTTATCGTCGTCGTCGTCGTCGTCCCCGCCTGCTCCGTCCTGAACCGTCCGTCCGCCCCCCTACTGCATCTCGTCCCCCTGTATACCTTCCGTCGCCCACAACCCCGCGTCGAACCGGGACCGGTCCCATACGTTGGCCTGGACGTCCTCCCAGAATAGCAGTACGAGCTACAGATAGTACGTTAATAAAATCCCGACATTGCACGGTAAGAAGCGGTGGATGATCTTGAGTCGCCCTGTCGTGGTGAAGCCTTTGTGCGCCCCCGTCACGACCATGACGAGTCCTCGGTCGTAGAAGATGTTGCGTATGCCTCCGTTATACGTGTTCCGGTGCCGTACCACGAGAAGCTCCTACGCCCGCAACGGGAACCCGCTGCTGATGTGCACGAGAACCGCCAGAAGCTCTAGCGCCTTCTCGACCCGGAGCCCGTATCGATATGCCGGCATGGGTATAGCGTCAAGCCGCCGTCGTTCGTGGACGTGACCTACCGGGACCGTAAGCCGTCGTCCTGTACGATCTTCTTGATCACCTATCCTCGGCTGACGCCCCCGTCGCGTTGAAGAGCTGGTCGACGAGCGAGCGCCCGACCGTTTCGTCCGCCGCGTTGTCCAAGAGCTCGGCCCACGGGATCGCCGGCAGCCCCAGTTCGGCCGCCGACTATTCGGAGAACGCGCCGAAGAACAGTAAGTCCTTATAGAGCACCGTCTCTAGCTGCCGGACCCCGACTCGTATTATCGCCTGGACGTTAAGAACGCCGAGACGGGTACCTTTATAATAAAGCTCCTCCTTACTCCTATCCCAGCATACCGAGCTGTATATAGCCGTATTATTCTATATAGCTATGCCGAAGTTACGGAGCCGGATGATAAACTGCGTCGGCGTCGTCTCCCAGCCCTCGCCCCCGCCGACCATGAACCGCCGGGTCATATCCGATATAAGCGCAAAATAGCTCGGGCTATTATCTTCGGCCTCCTCCTAGCTTTAGCCCTACCGCATCTTTTACTTCACCGCCTTAGCTCGCTAGTCCACCGCATATTTAACGATACAGAGCCGGGAGATCACCATAATAGCGGAGAGCTTCGGCGTGAACCACCGTACCCTTCCTACGCCCCGTCCGCCCGTATACTAAGAACGGTCAAAAAGCTGACGAGAACGCTATCGTACTCGGAGTCCTTGGTGAAGTGGTCGAGAACGGAGATATATAACTCGAGAACGGCCGTCTCGAGCCCGTCGAGAAGCCCGGCGATACCGGGTACGTCCGGGTCACGGCCGCCCTCGTTCTAAGCCTTGGCCAGATCGTCTACATGGTCTATTACGGTATTATACGCAGTCTGCTGCCTCGTGCTAAGCTTGAACGGTGGTCGATCCGCCTCGTTATCGAGAGACATGCAGCGTACGAAGTAAGCGAGCAGCTGCTTGACCACGAGTCCGTACCTCCTCTGTGTTTCGGGCTTAAACCGGAAGTGGAACGGCTTCGTCCTCTCTTTCGACAGCTCGGTACGGTTCACTTCGAACAGAGCATTCCAAGTGACCACGCTGGGGGTGAACGGCCTTGCGTGGTCGACCAGCCGATCGAATACCATGTGCACGAACTGCAGTTGGCGTCGTCGGACTTATCTAGGTCGTCGGGGTCGACGTCGCATTCCATAGCGATCAAGTCCCTCAAAAAATCCTTTCTCCCGCTGAACGCCTTTAAGTGAAGAGCGGAACCGAGCCGACGAAGCCACGGGTTGGGCGCGTTAACGTCGTCCTCTTCGTCGATGCGCTCCGCCTCTCGACTTCGGATATCGTCGCCCTTGTTCTAGAACGCCTCGATGGCCCGCTGGAGTCGGACGTGGGCTCGTCCTCTTGCACCCTTGCTTGTTCAAGACGTAGCCCCCTTGCCACCTCGAACAGCTCGCTCCCGAGTCCGCTTGTGAATAGTCGCTGGTGATGGACGCCCGTCCTCCACGGACTAATACTTCGTTCCTCCTCCGCCGTGGTAGTAGAGCGACGTCCACCCTTAAGTCCCAAGTCCCAGCCATGCTTGACCCTGAGATGTTCTCGGATCCGCCGCCGGTCTCTACCTACGTATCGATAATCGGGCGGTAACGTACTATCTTCGACTACGAACTCGCATTAGAAACTACCTATACCTAGCGGACCTAACGTACGATGGCCGGTGCGTCGTCTGGCCTGGATAGTAAACCGTCGTAGACCTCTTGCTAATTACGGAAGATGATATGACCTAACGCCTACGCTTCTATCTCGCTAATCTCCTGACCGCTAAGAGTGTGCGGACTGTTATGAAGATATACTTTAATTTGTTTCTGTGTAACCGCGGTCTAGTATGTACGGTAGTAGAGAAGCCGTAGTTCTGGTTCGTACACAAAGTAGTCCATTATAAACACACTTAAAATTGGAAATGCCGTACTTGAATCTTCTAAGCTAGCCATCTATCCTATAGTCGCAGTACTTACTTTCACCCTCTTTATCCTTTGACAACAGATCAAGTTAAATGCTGTTAATCGAGACATGTTGCTACAGCTACTGTTAAACTTTGTAAGTCAAGAATGCGACCTGGTTGGCTGTGACGAGATGGTCCGTGCTCACATACCCTGTCTTTCAACGACCATCAAAAAACCGACCAAAAAGCAGACTGGCTTCAAAGCGACCGTACTTACATATAAACGTATTACTGTTGACATCAATCGGCTCGTAGTTGATCCTTTGACAAGCTTACCTGTTTTGAACTCGCCGCGACACGTGTAGCGCCCAGACCGCTAATCGTCGGCAGACGTTGATCCCAATCGTCGCAACCCCCATGACCTGCTAGCGCCGAAATTTCTCCCGTACAAATTTAATCGTCGGCAGGCTGTCGACGTAAACAATGATTGTTAGGCGTAGGAAGACGCTGACCCTAAGCGGTAGGCAGCACCTTATTGATCAAAGGAGTAATAATAACGAAACTCTGTTAACGTGGTTGATAAGCGAGTGGATCAGACAAGCGAGTGGATCAGCCGACCGCGACCAACATATCTTCCACCCTTCATAGGCGTTACGCCACAACCAAGCATGTCATCACAAAGTAATGAAGGCCAGCTAACCTTAGCGGTTCAGGCTATCAAAACGACACCAAATCTTAGTATCCGAGCGGCATCCCGGATCTACTCAGTACCCTTCTCAACCTTACGCCATCGTCTAAGGGGAAAGTTATCACGACGCGACACTATGCCTAGATCGCGGAATTTGACTACGCTTAAAGAAGAGAAGCTAGTTAAGTATATTCTCGACCTAGATTCCCGATCATTCCCTCCCCGCATTAGAGGTGTGGGAGAAATGGCTAATCGACTGCTCGCCGACCGCAACGCGCCCCCAGTTGGGAAGCGCTGGGCTTCGAACTTCGTCAAGCGACAACCACAGCTCCAGACGCGCTTTTTTCGCAAGTACGACTACAAGAGGGCCCAATGCGAAGATCCAAACGCCATAAACGCGTGGTTTCGCCTTGTGGCGAACACAATCACGAAATATGGTATTGTGGACTCTGATATCTATAACTTTGATAAGACTGGGTTTATGATGGGCCAGATTGCATCTGGGATGGTCGTCACGAGCGCCGAAAGGCGTTCAAACACGAAAATGATGCAGCCTAGTGACCGTGAATGGGTTACAGTCATTCAGGCCATTAGTTCGTCGGGCTACAGCGTCCCGCCGTATATCATCGTTGCAGGCCAATATCACCTCTCCACCTGGTACACGGAAACCAATCTCCCACGCGACTGGGTCATTGCAACGTCTGACAACGGATGGAAAACAAACGAAAGAGGCCTAGATTGGCTCCAGCACTTTGATCGGCATACAAAACTGCGTGCAACTGGCAGTTATCGCCTCCTCGTCGTCGATGGGCATGAAAGTCACCACGCTGCCGACTTCGAGATATATTGCAAGGAAAACAATATCGTCACACTCTGTATGCCGGCCCATTCGTCTCATCTGCTTCAGCCCTTAGACGTTGGGTGCTTTGGGCCACTAAAGACGGCTTATGGTCGACAAATTGAGGATAAGATGCGCCGGGGTAATACGCATATTACAAAGGAAGACTTCTTCCCTGCGTTTCGCGAGGCTTTTGCCCAAGCTATTACGGAAAAGAACATTCAGGGAGGTTTCAGAGGGGCTGGGCTTGTCCCTTTGAGTGCCGAAAGTGTGCTTTCAAAGCTTGATATCAGGTTACACACTCCAACACCTCCAGGATCCCTCCCAACAACACCCCCTGCGTGGACTTCTCAGACGCCAAACAACCCAACAGAAGCATCTTCTCAGTCTGAACTCATCAAAAGGAGGATCTCCCGCCATCAGAATAGCTCACCAACTTCAATTATTGAAGCTGTTGAGCATCTATCAAAGGGGGCGCGTGGATTTATGCACCAGATTGCGTTATTAAGGTCTGAGAACAAAATCCTTCGTGAGGAAAACAACCTACTAAGCCGGCGCCGGAGGGCTAAGAAAACACGTCTCAGACAAGGAGGAAGTCTTACTATAGCTGAGGCTGAGGACCTTCAGTCGCAGAGAGAAGCAACAGCTCAGATCGAGGAGGAAACACGCCGGAGTAGTGGTCGCCGACCGAGGACCGAGACGGGCCAACGGCGATGTGGCGTCTGTGGGAACACTGGTCATAATGCACGAACATGTCAATTTGCTGAAGAAATGTCTGAAGAAGAGGATCTTAAATAGTTTCAATTGAATTACTTTTCTTAGTGCTGCGTATCGGTCGCAAATGTGCTGTGGTCGCGGTCGGCTGATCCACTCGCTTGTCTGATCCACTCGCTTATCAACCACGTTATAGATAATTAGAATTATTACTATGTTCTATAGCTAACTAATCTGAGCGGCAGAGGAAGGTTCCTCGATGTAGTTCTTTACCTGGCCTCACCCGTGGATAATACTAGTACAACGATCTACCCAAATCTTGTCCTAGCTATAGAAGACTATGCTGATGAAGTCGTCCGGCCGTTTTATAGCGGCGCGTAGCTCTCGAAAAATATCGAGGAGTTCATCTCGTAGACGGAGCTATAAGTCCGTATTTCGCGGGCTGTCCCGTTAGCTCTAAGACGTTACCCAGCCTAGTTCTCGGAGTATACGGTTACTATAACCCTTCTACTCTAGCGCCGTATTAATATTTAATACCGGATCAAAGGATTATTATTACGTACCGATTTTCTTCGTCATTTCGGCAATATCATACGCCGTGCCGCTCGCGCTCTTTGCCCACGGGAAGGACGCTAGGTAAAAAAACTATATTATATACATAACTATAACAAAGACAAGCTGCCCCGGGCTCTTCCGCTTCGGGGCCGCGCTGAAGGTCCGGGCGCCGGGCGCGACCTCGGGCGTCTCGGATGAGGAGCAGACGGTCAGGACAATCATGAGCATCAAATGGCAGAACGTATCGTCGATGTTATTGGCGAGGCAGTTTATAGCGAGCTGGTAGTGGTCGAGCACCTTGGCGTCTCCCTTATTAAAAAAGATGGATTTCGCCTAACTAAAGCCGGATAGTACGAGTCCGGGAATGTTAGTAAAGGGTACCGGACAGCCGAAGTTAATACGTAGATGGCGCTCCCGATGCTCGGCCCGGTCTCTTAATATCTTCTCGTACTTGATCTTTACCTCCTATGCCGCCCGCTATAGCGATCCGGGTGCGTTAATCGGGGCCGAGGTAGCGCCGGCCTTGCCCCCGAGCCGTATAATACTTCTTAAGGTAAGCCGGCCGCGGACCGGACCCGGTACCTATTTGATACCGGTAACGAGAAAGTAGCCCGTAAAGACGGCCTCTTATATCGCTATATTAACGTTATTACCCGGGGACGCGTAACCGTTAGCAATAGCGAAATATAGCGTCGACGGCTATATTATATTCTTAGCCGCGAACGAATCTTTACTGGCGTCGCTGCTAACGACCCGTAATAGCTCTAAGGTGAAGTCCTGCCGCGCGCTCGCCGCCGGGCCTCAGGCCGCGACAGAGCCGCTGGAGAGCCTTCCAGGTGAATGCGTCACCGGCTACGTCCCAGTCCGCCAGGGCCTGCTCGCACGCCGCAACGGACTCCATCAGAATAGGTACGCCCGTATCGCCGGTTCTGCCGGCGCCGCCCTCGTAAAGGCGGCGCCTAAGCTACTACACCATAAAGACCTTAGTTTACGGCACCAACAGCTCGCGGACGAGCTCCTCGGCAAAGCAGCGACGGCCGTCTTACTCGTGAACGCGGCGTTGCCCAGCTGCGCGAACCAGACGGCGCTCTCGCGGGACGACGCCACCCGGGCGCCGTAATGGTGGCGCAGCTCCCGCACGTGGAGCAGCACGGGCCGGCCCGTCTTGGCGCAGTAGGACCACCGCGCCATGTTAATGACGGCCCCGCCCGACCCCGACCCGCCGAGGTCCACGACGGCCGGGTCGAGGAAGGGCCAGCCACTGGCCCAGAGGCTGGCGAAGGTGCCGAGCGGCCGCAGGACCGATCCGACGAGGTGCCGCGGGTGGCCCGAGAACATATACCCGCCCAGCCGGTCTATGACGGCGACCGCCTCGGACCGCGCCAGGTCGAGCCCCTGCTCGCCGCCGAGGACGAACTAGCGGTGCATCTCGTCGAGGCCCAGCTTAAAAAGCCGTACATAGGCGCACATGATCCGCGGGAAGACCTCGAGCGGCATCGACCGGAAGATGTGCACGAAGGACTCCTGCTCGACTAGGAAGAAGCGTATTATTTAGAAGATAGGGCGTATCACGGTCTTAAACGTCCGCTCTCCCGCCGTTATATATCGGATATCTAACGAGACTACCTGCTCGAGTCGGAATGCTACCTCCTCGGCCTCGATAGTAACGTCTATTTACCGCCGCTCCCTCGCGAACGGCTTGGCCTTATTAGGTCTGCGGAGAATACGTAGTAACCGCTCGCGCTTTTCCCGTACCGCCGCCGTAGCCCCGGTATCCGACGCCGGTACGGTTATAGCCGCCGTTACGTACCCCTTGGTGGCTAGTAGGTCATAGGGGCTGCGGCGGACGCTGCGCTTGATATTGGAGTACCCCTGGAAGTAGCCGAAGGAGAGGACGTCCGCGCCCTCGTCCCGGTCGCTCATATTGCCCTTTATAG